TACTGCATTTAGAACTGCGGGCCACTTGGATTAACTGAAGCAGGGTAAGCTCTTTAGATTATCAAATGTCACATGAAAAAAGACCAGGAAATCTGGGAATGAGTGTATGTTAATGCTTTACTAGGGTGGCATGTCCTCAAATAATAGTAGACAGAGCTTCCCGTGTTCTTTCAGGCTGAGCTGAGATGCCAAGTATACAGAATTGGAAGCTGTCTATCAGGGTGGTTATTTGTTTGGTGGTTTTTTTTTTTTTTTTTTTTTTCTTTTTTTTTTCATTTGCCTCATACAGACAGCAGAGACAAAATACCAAAAATGCCTGAAATCCTTATGACCTTGCACTGCAAACTGAGAACTTTGTCCAGTAAGCTCAAATTTCTATTTACTCTGTCAGCACTGTCTCCACACTGTTGCTTTTTTTCTGTCTTCCCAGTTTATCATGTGCTGGGAGACAGCTTCACGGGCACTGGGCAGGAGGGGGAGCCTGAGCACATTCCAAATCCCTTGCAGGTTCAAAATACTAAGTCTCTGTGCTGTGGGTTGCTTAAAAATACCCATAGTGCAAGCAAGTCAGCATGCAAGCAAGTATTCTGCAGCCATCAGCTGGCATGGCTCACATTTCCATGTTGTGTGCTGATGCCATAGTGCTCCCTAGCTGGCCCCATTTACACTGTCTCCCATTTATGCCAGAAATACTCAGGCTACTATGGAGTAAATGGTCCAGAAATGTGTCCAGTAAACTCCTGCGTCAGCTTCTCAACTAAAACATCCCTGATTTCAGCATTGTGCTCTGGTATTCCTCCATTCCTGGTAAAGTAGAAAGTGTTCCTATGGAACACTGCTATGACCTATAATATTAGACACTGTGTATCTATTGCAATTCAGAAAAGATAAGGATATCCATAACCTTTTATTGAAATAAAACCCAGCAGCTACATTGAACTCCTTTGAAAATAAACAGAAAATTGAAGTGTACAGCAAGTATTTTAGCTGACGATTCACTTACCAACCTGATAAATTTGTGAGCTAACTACTAACTGGGTATTCTTTGTGACTGTATTTCAAGTTTTACTTTGTACTGTGGTAGTGTTCTCCGAACTTTGCAAGGCAAAATTACTGCATCTAAACCCTCTGGGTCTAGAAAAAAGGACAAAAATGCGACATTTCTGGAGAGACTCATGCACAGAAAATGCATTGGTGTTTCCTAAAGAAACTCGGCGAGTCCAGAAGGAATTGCTGCATTGACCAATCATGCTAATGAGGCTTTTGAAAGAAGGAGGTGTGCTTAGCGCTGCTTATCTCTGGACATAGAATCTATGGGAAAACATGTGGAATATGTTTGCAACGTGATGACTGCAGCTGTATGTTCTATATGTTGGTGTTACTGAACTATCTGTTATCAAACCACACACTTCAGCACATAGGAGGATTTATGCTTACTGCAAAGCCCATTAAAAGACTTGTGGATTCCCAAATCAGACAGACATGTTGCCTTCTGTATCTTGCTGTTATCAGGATAAAAAATGTGCCTTTTTTTCTGGCTAAGCACATTGATTTGGCTGATTCTCCTCACATGACAAAGAGGCAACAAAACATTAATGGCAAGTTTGTCTCCACGGACCAGAAGTGAGCTTGTCCGTGTGTGCACATGTGAGGTGGGCTGGGGAGCTGGGCCTGGAGTGGCAGAGAATTTGCAGAGCAGCTGGTCCTATGGGCTCTGCTTTGCACAGCCTGGGATCATAAACGTATCATCATGGTTGCTAACAGCAAGCAGGAGGTATCTGTGGAATCACCCGAAATGGAATGATTTGTGGAGGCAAGTTCATCTCGTCATTTTTCTGTGCTCACAGTACCAGAGCTTATTGTGTCAGTTATCACTACTAAAGCCCAAAAGAAGCCCCTCTTCTTCAAAATGCAGACAAAAGCAACCCTTGGATATATGCACAATAATGTTTGGATTAGTTAAAGAACCCACATTTGCCAATAGGAAAAGAGAAGGAAATTTCTCAGCTATTGAATAACACTGCTATGCTTGGAAGAGATTTTTTCTTTTGTAATTCCCTTTTAATTTCCTCCCATCAGAACTGCTGGGAGGAATCCGAAGCTAGGTTTTCTGGAGTGACAAAAGGAGCTGGGCCACTGACTTCTGTTGAAAAATCAATGGACCTGAAAATGTAAGATAACATTCTCATAAACGCATGAAGGATTTGAGGTTTAAATTCCTTAAAACTCTCTAGGACTTCCAACTCCCCAAGTCAGACAGGGAAAAGGATGATCAGCAAACTAATCCTTATTAGCACATATGTGGAGATTGCATGGAGGAACGTGGAGCACAAGAAAATGAGGAGGAATCTGAGGACACAGAAGAAGATGGTGTTCATAAGATTTAAACATGGAAGCGTAAAAGGCAACAGGAGAAAGGACAAAGAGAAAGAACATCAAAATATGCAAACTGAGATGTTAATTTCAATCACTTAGATTTTCCTTTGATTTCAAGATCAGACCTCAGTAAGACCACATAAAATTGAATAATTTCATCATCTGACTCAGTGCCTACAAATTCAGCACAATGCATTTCTTCAGTCTCCTTCTTGATCAGATTATGAAGTGTCTGAAGTTAAACTGAACTATGCATTCTGGTAACCTTTCAGAATAGTTTTATTTTCTTCATTTCAATTGTCTTTTTTCGATTTAAAAATATTATTCAAATACCACATTTGGATGGGTAGTAACTACCATGACACTGTGTAGAAAACCAAAGCAATTTGAAGCAAGCTAGACATTCTGAGTGCATTTTTAAAATACCTTATTGCTTAAATAAAATAAACTTAAATCCCTTAGTCTAGCAATTACTTTCAGATGTCTGATTGTTTATTTTTGAAGAACTGTCATATCAGCCATATAGAACTGGCAAGCCCTAGTTTTATATGTTCACAAGCTTTCTCTAACAGCTGCTCCCTGCCTTACGTTGGGAACTACGTACTCATCTTCATTGTCTCTTGTATTTATCTTAATTTTGCTGCATTTTGTTTTATTGGAGGAAAAACTTAGCAGAGCTGTTTGTGGCAGGGTTTAGTTACAGGAAACCCAAAAGCTAAGCCCCAGTTTCAGCTGAGACAATTAGACTGTTGATTTTGGTAGGAGCTCAGGACTTCTATTGGACCCAAATGCCTTTCAAGTCTAATTGCCAGTTGATGCTCAAGTCTGAAAATTTTCTGTATTCTCACTACAGATCTGGGGCTTTGTTTCCTTTTAATGTGAGGGATATTTCTATCCAGATCTGAATGTTTTGCTGAAATTCTTCTCTATTCACTGGAATAGATTAAAAAGAAAAGAAGGAGGAAATTACATTTTCCAGAACTTTCAACCTTTCCCTAGTTCTCTCTGTTTTTGATTCTCTATGCCTTGAAATCTCTGCGGTGTAGAGGATGGTTGTTTTTTTTTTTTTCTGAAAGCCATTTTGCCATGCATGAAAAGTAGCACGTACTAATTTGCAATGACTGAGTTAACCATTGCTTTTTACTGCCTGGTACATGTATTTAGTACATATTCCTATTTCACATTCCATATTCCTATTCCATATTCCTATTTCACCAGATGTAGGTGAAGGATTCTGAGGTAGTGAACAAATGGTACATTTTTAAAAGTGATCAATATGATAATATAATGCTGGATAATTTCTCTCTTAACCTTTGAAGTAAACTAGTAATAAAGGCAGTTTTCTCACAGAATGTTTTAATCAGCTGCTACATAACCCTCACAACCAAGTTATCAAAATCTACTGCCATTCTTGGATGGATGTTTTATTGCTAGGTGGATTGGGCTCTAAAACTTTCTTATAGATGCTCTGGGACAGTTTAAATACTAGCAGGAAAGTATTTTGTACTCTATAACATTTGTGGGTTGGAGCCTTGGGCTGTATGGTTTCTTTTTTTTTCTCCTTTTTTCTATTTTTTTATGCATTATACCAGTTTAGCACCTTGCCTAGGGCTGGTCCCAGGATCCTCACCACATGGTGCGGATCCCATGGCCGGCTCCAAGAGCTGTCAGGCACCTGGCATTGGACAGCCTGGCCCTGAGCCAGCCCACCCCAGTGCCTGGAGAGGCCATGTTCGTAGGGACCCACGCGTTTCCTTTCAGCCATATCCTGCAGGATTACTCTGCAAGACAGACAAACGACAGAACGAGGCGCTCATCTTCCCAAGGAGGCATTCAAAATGTCTGAGTAACTTTTTGATTAATTCTTAGCTTTTGGATGCTTTTAATTAGCCATCTATAAACCAAAACAGAGCGCAGGACACTACTGCAATGTAATTTGTTAAGCAATAATGCATTTTTTCTTCCAAAAGTCACACTTGATAACAAACAATAGTCATAGGCTTAAGATGACTGTGGATACTATGAGCTAATGTCTAGTTGTCAGAAACTTTTCCATTAGGCTTAAAATGATGTTTAACATACTCCTCCCGTTACTGAGCTAAAGGACACATTGTATTAAACACGGATTTCCAAATGAAATGCTGTTTGTCTTCGCATACACATACGTAAAGATGCAGACACATGTACATATGTATTTTGGCTATCAAAAGTATACCAGTAGCATAGTTCACCCTATTCCCAGGACAGAATGTTTTCTTGCCATCACCTGTTAATTAAACCCATTCTTAATCTTAATTGACTGTAAAAAAACTTTAAACAAAGTTCTTTAAACACAAAATCCCAAAATTACATGTTCTTTCCTATTAAACTTCAGAGAATGTCTGAAAGAGTAGATCTTTTAATTGTCTAGGAAAAAAACATGCTGCTGACGATAATCACCAAAATATGCGTACCATATATTTTTCTACTTAAAATTCAAAACCTTTGGTTTATAACAAACATTTGAGTAATTTATCAAATCCTACTTCATGCTAGCTTTAAGTCAACTTCAGTTTTAAGCCTTTGCGCTTTGGTTTTGGCATTATCCACAACTCATTCAGCATTTCAAAGCTGTATATACTTACATTCAGATTTCAGGAAAGGGCAGAAGGACAGGTTGTTTGCTTTTCACTGTAAGAGACCTAGATTTCCTGTTTGTGTAAGGCCCGTTGTTATTTTGTTGATTTTAAGATGGTCCCTAGAGGGAAAAGAAAGCTTATAAGAAATGTAGGAGCACACTGGCCTTCTTTTGCAGAAATACTGAGGAATTTTGCCCAAGATTTTTAAACATAGCGGCTTAGCATGGTCTCTTAATTCCATATTCAGACTTCTTAATTCAAGATCTGCTGTTCAGAAGTATGACAACCTGGCAGTTCATTCACTTTAGGAAGCCTTTTAAGTGCTTGCAAAAACTGATACAGCAATTTGAATATAGAAAGAAAATTCTAAAGTCAGATATTCTTGTTGGCAATTCTGTAATAAATCAAAGCTTGGGTCTGGACTTCAGGAAAAGTTCCTTGAGTCTTGTTTCCACCCTTCTGGAGTGTAACTATTTCAGATTATTAGGTACAAAATTATCCATTTGAAGGATTGCTGAAAAACATTTACTTATTCTCATCTTTCTCCACATGTATTTCCCCCACAAAAATGTACGTACAAATAATGTCTTGCAATCATTGGCCCCTGAGAGGCTTGGACTGATAGGAAGTGCTTGGGACCGCCATACACACTCCTAAGCATCACTGTACTCGAAATGTAAAGGTGTTAACAAGTGAAGCCGCAGGCAATACTAGCATCCTACATAAAAATGAACTATACCTATCTGTTTTATAGGCTAATCCCTCTCACACAGCCACTACCACATCATGCACACTTCACCCAACTACATCCCATTGGCATGGCTGAGAAGACAGTGGTTTGGTGGACTCAGCTGCCACCTGGATGTTCACGATTTGGTCTGAACCATGAATTCTGGAGATGTTGTGCTGCTACTTATGTTTGAGTACATACATAAGTGCTTTGCTGGATCAGGACAAGAGAGAGCCCAGTGCCTGTTCGTGTACCCCTGCCCTGTGCTGCTGACAGCACGCTCCATTTGCTGCTCAATGTTCATCATGCACTAACATGCAGACAACAAGAAAAGCAGCTCTTTGATAAGCAGGGTAGTACTTTTCACACACTGATTGGCCTTGTGGTTGAAATTTTAAGTATTTGGCCTAAGATCTTCCTGGCCTGTGTTTTGCCTCTCCAAAGTCACTGGTTTCCTTAGTAGACAGAGTAGCTCCAGAGAGCCATGTACCCAAATGTCTCTCTCAATTTACTTGAAGCATTTTATCAGCCAGGACAAAATGAAAACTCAAGAGTAGAAGCTCTCAACCTTTGTTCAGCTGAACTCCCACAGTGCTGCCTGCCCCAGGACCTTGTGTGCTCCAGGAGCTGAGCCCCAGATGGCCCATCCGTCACCAACATGCATTAACCTTAGAAGAATAGAGCATCTGGAAAGGGAAGACAGTCAAGAAGCAATACTGAATTTACAAAGGAAACCTGCAGGTAGTTTGACTGTTTTACCTCAGATTTATTCCTGTCCCTTTGAGCTGGAGGAAGAAATGTGCATCTGGCATCTTTCCTGAGAGGATTCTACAGCCTGGAGAGTAGAAATGGCCAGTTTCATTGCCACTTGCTTCCTAGTTTAATGAACAGTGGCTTTTAATTGTCTATCTGGCCAAACAGGCCTTTTCCTTTAAGCAATGATTCAGTAACTCAGACAACATCTATACCCATTCATCACCTACAGAGATGGCCCTCGGCTCCAAAGTTTGGCTCTGGACACAAACTTTTCCACAGCTTGCAGGTGTTTAGGTTTGGGCTCTGGCTCAGCTTCTTGCATGGATGAAGGAAAGTCATGAATTCGGAGGTAGCTTTTAATAGTTAACAAAGTGGAGAGCTGCCAGACTGGAGGGAATGGCAAGTTATTTTGCCTGTGCCTGAGGAGAGAGGGATTAGGCATTTCAGCCGAGCAGCTCATTCCTGCTTGCAGTTTGTACCATCCATGTTGCTGTTACTGCCTTTGTGGGATTAGAGGGCGGCTGAAGGAGTGCCAGCATGTACCAGCGGGTCCCAGTACAGTAGCAGTCACATCTGCCCTTTCTGCCTTCAGGAGAAGCAGGATTTCCCTGGCTTTCTGCCTTGCTGCTATCCTAATTCCTGCTCCTGCAAACCTGTACCAACCCCTCCTTGACAATCAAGAAGCTACAGAAAAATGCATAGGTGGTGATGGTGGAGAGAGCAGAAGGGAGCAGAGAGTCTCTGCATCCCATTCAGGAAGAGATGGAAGAAGTGGTCCCCAGGATAAAATCCAACTCTGGGAGCAGAAAAAGTGTCCCATCCTCTCGTAACTTCCTCACGCAGTGTCACCCTTGGTCCTCACAAAGTTCCTTTAACATCACTGATGTCCCCACCTTTTCCTTCTCAAGGGCCTTTCCTCATTCCATGCCACCACTGCTGCCCTTGCCTTCCTGTATGCTCCAAGGACATTCCTGGCCTGTGTGTAACCCAACCCAGTTGGGTTTTGCGTAACAAAAAACCAGATTTTGGCTCCTGATAATTTTCAGGAGATAAACTTCTGGCTGCTTTGAGGTGTTGTTCTCTATGAATCTTTCCAGTATTATTATTATCCAGCTCTTCATGTCCTGAGACTGATGGCTATATGTGCATTCTCTCACTTAACTTTCAGAACTGAAAGCTTATGATGATGCAATGACTATTTTTTCATGAGATAATTAATCTCGTGAAAGGTCTACTGCATGCCCTGTCTCTCCTGTGTTATTGGGTAATGTGGAAATCCTCATATATACAAGGCTGCATGGAGTTGTTACAAGTGGAAAGCATCAGTGTTGGAAAGAGCAAAGCAACACGGGACAGTCATTTTTGTTTTGGAGAAAAGAGGGCCTGTTAAGACTTCCTGGAGCAGCAAGGGGAGAAAGAATATGAAAAGAATGAGGGAAATCATTCCTAAGAGGAAAGTTAAGCATTAGATTTCCTGATTGGTACAGTTGCATTTCATTTCTCTGCTAAGAACCCTTTAGTGCTAATCTGTAGCTGAAAGGAGAGTGGAGGATTTGTTTTCTGTGTACAAAATCTTTATAGGAGGCAGCATGCATTCTCCTCTCTCTCCCACTTTGTTGGCTGCGGGTCTTAGCCAGGTGTGAAAAACTTGTATTTTCAATGCAAGTGCAGAAAGGCAACAGTAGAAATGTAGAAAATCACTGTAATCTCTTTAACACAAAAACAGCATGACCCCTAGTTCAGTTATATAAATACAAACTCTATTTTAAGCGTAGACCTGAGTTGCTCTGATTCAATATCCAGCCCAAATGCAAATGACTTTTGTGGAATGAGGTTTGCAATGAGATGGATCTATTTAGTAAAGTATTTCAGCCTGGTTTGGTGGAGAAAAGAGGAATCTGGTCAATTGCTGCAAATGCTTCTGTAGCAGAATTGCTGCTCTACTCATTGTTTGGGCTATTTTCTACTGAATTGTTAAAATTTTTGTGAGAGAGAACTATCGTGGAATAGAAAGCCGGGTCTGGAGCAAAGTCACAGGAATGTGCACACATAATTATGTCTTTTGAAAGTAGCACACTACACAGGATTTCCTAAACAGTACCAGAAAATGTTGACATCCTGGAACTGACATTTGCAATTTCAAATAGCAGCTTTCCAGGCATAATTAGTGTTGTTGTAAATGTTTCAGTATCACATTTGGGACTCACTTTGGACATGCCAGTCCACAAAGTCTAAATGTATATTGTTTTGTCATTTATCGTTTCCTTTTCCAGTGTTCCAGGAACTGACAGCTGTGATTTTTAAAGCTGGGAAGTACTAAATTGAAATAGTGCGTTTTAAAGTATTTATTATGTTTAATTACAGTGCATGAAAGTTGCTTTTATTTATAATTTACTGTTTTCTGTGGCCATAGTTCTTTTTTGTTTTGTTTTGTATAAAACACCTTTGATTCCCATCCTCCCTTATTCAAAGTACACAAACACTTCTACAAAACCACAGCTTTTCTCTAGACACAAACTAAAATACAGTTGAGGATATGAGAATTACGTATGACAGATGAGTCACATTAATATTTTGTTCTAAGCCTCGAGAAAAATGAGACACGAGGGTAGGAATCAGGACAGATCAAAACCTTTGGTGCTTTGTGATCCAAAACCACAGCCATCTACTGAGGTGCAAAATGTTCTTCTTTCACATGAAGTGTGAGAAAAACACAAAGAGTTTTGTACTGCAGATGCTGGCGGCACACAATGTTGCAATTATTCTCAATATTTTGAGATGCTTGAATCAAAACCAAGATTTTAAGCAACATTGAGGTAAAAATATTTTTATATTTCTCCAGCTTAGAAAAAATATCGTGTTTGTCACGATTGCTTCAGAAATGATGTGCCAAATTTCTACCCGTGACTGATTATAAAAACAAGAAGGGGAATGTCATGGCATCTGCTCTCTGTAATCACTTTTGTCATCCTAACTCCTGTTGGGTCTATCAGACTTCTGTGATGCTAGAAGAATCTTGGCTGTTCTGTTCTTGGAAAAGCATTGTTCTAATTGCCTTTTTCCACTACTTTCCTACTACAATGCATGTGGCTGATTTAGGCTGGCTATGGGGCATGATCTCATATGATCTCGCTTCCTATTTAAAAGATGGTAGACAGGTACATTCTCAGTAGTTTCCACTTGCTATTAGACTTCAGAAGAAACATGGATCACCACATTTGATGTGATCAGATGATACCATCTGAAATTTGAGTCATCAGTAGGTGAACCAAGTCTTCTGTTCGTAAAACATGAGGAAGCTCTTCCTCACTCATTCCCTTTTTCTGACCTGGTACTCATGGGGAGCTGAGGGCAGCAGGATGCTGGTGTTCATAGAATCATAGAATAGAATCATAGAAGCACCAAGGTTGGAAAAGACCTCTAGGATCTTCCAGTTCATCCACATACCACCAATATTTCCCACTAAACCATGTCCCTCAGTGCAACATCTGAACATTTCTTGAATGCTTCCAGGGTTGGTGACTCCACCACCTCCCTGGGCAGCCCATTCCAGCTCCTGATCACTCTTTCGGATGAGTATTTCCTGTTCTGAGTGGACTCTTAGCTCCATCCAGCCTTAGGAAGGACCTGTTA